GGACCAAATGGCTGCTTCTCAGGTATTAGATGTGTCCTGTGTCACAGACTATGTTTGCTTTTTCTCTAACATCTGGTGATTTATTTCTCTACTACTGATGTTATGGTCTCCATGTAGGAGCTCATTCTTCCTGACTCTCTCCTGTGACCAAGGACAGGAGGGGTGTCTTTTTTCTCATTTCCAGGTCCTTCTGACTGTGAGTGTGAGGTGAGTTGATTAACACGCTGTGCTAATCATTTCTTTGAAGACACATTCTGTGACTCCTCAACATATTGTCACCTGAGAAAACCATCCAGACCCCCATCAGGACCAGGACCAAGACCAAATGGCTGCTTCTCAGGTATTAGGTGTGTCCTGTGTCACAGGCTGTGTTTCCTTTTCCTCTGACATCTGGTGATTTATTTCTCTACTACTGATGTTCTTGCCTTTGCAGGTTGTTTTTCATTCCTTATTTCATTACTTTTTTCATCATAATCAATGTCAGCAGTTTCTATATTTCTCTTTTCTTTTGTATTTTCTTTTTTCCCCCCTCTCTTCAAAATATATTTTTATTGGTTTCAGAATGGAAAGGAAAGGGAGAGAAAGATGGAGACATCAACAAGGAGAGAGAATCATTGATTAGCTGCCTCCTGCACCACCCCCCCCCTCCCCACTGGGGATTGAGTCTGAAATCTGGAGTGTGCCCTGACCAGGAATGGATCCCTGTCCTCCTGGTTTCGAGGTCAGCCCTCTACCTTTCAGCCACACTGGCCGGGCTATAATTCCCTCCTTTGCCTCAGAGCCTTCTCTGCATTCATTTTATGCAGCCTCCCCAGGTCAGGAATCATTCCCACCTTTAATTAATGACTTTCAACTACTCAGAATATCTGTTTTGTGACAGATCCACCCGGGAAGGCAGCCATGTCTAACATCCCTATTTGGATGGGGTCACAGGCTGGGGTATCAGTGAAGAAGGCAAGTGCAGGTTTTAGATTCCAGTGGCTGCAGTGTCAGTTCTAGATCATGGGTAAGAAGATGCACATTTTACTGCTCAGAAAAGCTCAAAGAGTTCTGAAAGGAAGAGTAAATGGAAGAGACTTGCTCACTCGATTAGTACAAAAGACTTGGTATTTAAATGTACTATTAGCTTATAAAACATGAGAGTTACATGTGGATTGACACTTGCAAAAATTAATCTTTATTTGTGATCGTTTTACCATAATTTTTTCTTCTCTGTTTTTGAATCGTATATGAGCGTTTATTCCAGTAATGCTGTCAGTATGGGAGAGCAGCAGATCAGCCACAGAACTCTGCTCCGCATCCCACTGTAAGCCAGTTGCTTATATAGTAAAAGTACAAAGGAAAAGTAGGTAAAAGGGCAGTTTACAATTATGCAAAGGAAGTAGGGGTCTTCAAAGGGCTTAGTGATATGCAAGGGTTGGGATTACATGGGGAAGTAGCCAAAAGGAGTGCCAGATGTGCAGTTAACAGGTAAGCAGGCTGGAGGTCTGCAAAAAGGGCTGGGGAATCTTCAAAGGGCTGGAAATTCTGGTTTCAGTAACAAATCTTTGTGAATCTTTCCATGATAATAGGCGGCTCTGAATGGGGAGGAAGGGCTGCATCTCCAGGTCAGCTCCAGCCAGGGTGAATGTGCCTTCATTAGCTTCCACACTCCCAAAGCTTCAAGGGCCCTTCCTTTATCTCTATAACTTGTTTCCTAATGAAACGGGAAATTTGGATTGGAAATGTGTGGTGTTCCCCTGGGCAGGATGGTTCCCTGGCTCTTGTCCGGTGGAGTCAAGGAATGAAACCAGGGTCAAAAGGTGGAAATTTATTGAGAAACAAGCACAGACTCCCACCTGGGGAGGGATAAAGAGTCCCCCATAATTATTTCTTTATTGATGTATTTTTGGCAGTAATGTCAGCAGTGGTGGCCTGACCTTCCGAGTGTGTGCCTCAGTCACCTGATGCCCATTGTCTTAGTCCACCTGATGTTCAGGTGGCACAGGTGCTTCCCTCACTGTACTGTTAATAGTCTCCCTTTTTCAGTAACAAGGGTGTAGAAGGGATTTAATGAAAGTTGTGCAAAGACCATCACTTCACATATGAAAATGTCCCTCTTCTTAGTTTGTGTTTGCTTTGGGAAATGAAGGAATTACTTTTATTTCCTACTAGAGGCCCGGTGCACGAAAGTCATGCACGCATAGTGTCCCTTGGCCTGGCAGGTCATCAGGGCTAATCGGGGGGCCTTCTTACCTTGGCTGCCGGCTGCCAGCTGGGGCCTTCTTTCCTCCTGTGCCGCCCCATGGTGTTCAGCCCACATAGCGAGCAGTTGAACTCTCAGTCGGTCAAACTCCTATTCAGTTGAACTCCTGAGGGGGAAATTTGCATATTAGACTTTTATTATATAGGACTAGAGGCCTGGTGCGTGAAAATCATGCACCAGGAGGTGGTGTCCCTCCGCCCGTCCTGCACCCTCTCCAATCGGGGACCCATCGGGGGTTGTCCACCTAACCAGCAGTCGGAAATCCCTCTCACAATCCGGGACCACTAGCTCCTACCACTCACATGCCTGCCTGCCTGATTGCCCCTAACTGCCTCTGCCTGCCGGCCTGATCGCCCCCCAATTGCCCTCCCCTGCTGGCCAGATCACCCCCAAGGCTTTTATTAGTATAGATATGACCCCACATAGAAAATTTTACTAACCCTGCTTTAAACGCCGGCCTGATCTGGCCCCTAACTGCTTGCTCCCCCGCGCCGGCCTGATCTTGCCCCTAACTGCTTGCTTCCCCGCCATCCTGATGGCCCCTAAGTCCTTGCTCCCCTGCCAGCCTAATTGCCCCTAACCACTTTTGACTCGGCTCCCGCCACCATGGCTTTGTCTGGAAGGAATTTTGATGTCCGGAAGATGTCTGGTCGATCCTGTCTAATTAGCATATTATCCTTTTATTAGTATAGACTAGGGCCCAGTGCAGGAATTTTTGCACCTTGAAAGGAACTATGGGCTGTGAGGCTGCGGTGGACACAGAGGTGAGTCTTGGCCCATCCACTGTGCCCCCACTTGGCCCCTCCCACCACTGCCCCCAGTCCCCTGTCTCCCAGGAGCC